ATTTATTCGATTGTGACCAGTGTTATTTACAAATCGTTGTGGCGATCGCAAAAAGGCTAAGCTGGGTCTAGCATATTTACAAAAAGAATGCCGTAGAGTACAAAAGTACTACAAACCAACTTGTAGCCTAAAGAAGTCCGATTTGCAATAAAGGCAAGATAAGATCTGGGAAAATGTAAGAAAGCACAGATCTAAGTGGAAAGGGTCTGACGTGATTGCTCACTAATGCTGCGGAAAATCCTACCACTTCAAATACTGATCCAGTAATCATTAGGTTTGATTTTGAATCATCAAAAAGACAGCGGCGTGAGCTTAAACAAGCGAGACAGTAGATAAGCAGCCTGGGAGAGCGCCTTAGTGCAGCAGAAGAGACTAATAATCGGTTAAGAAAAAAAGCGGAAAGGATTCAGAAGAGAAATATTCCTTCTAAAGCGTGAGTCAAGAGGAGATGACTCCCAGCACACGTACACGTGAGCAGATTAGGGAGGCAGGTCTCACTCCAAGAAGACTCCTAAATCAGTTGAGGAAAAGGCTAATATTCAAAAACGTCTTGGTTGATGAGATACGTGATTCAGTGGCCAGAAACAAAAGTACAAAAAGCAAGCAGACTATACGCCAAATCGTATCGGGAAAAATAGTCAAGAAATACATGTTAATTTCTGGAATGACTAAAGAGAAACAGGTATTGCAAGAAATTGTTTGCTTGAAGTCAACAAACAAAGAAGCAAAAGGCCGTGAAAAACGCAACTTTTTGCGAAAAAGCGAGCAGATAAGGACTTTCCTTGAAAGAGATGACAACAGTCGTATGATGCCCGGGAAGAATGATGAAAGATTAACAGTGGAAAGTTAAGGGYTCAAAAAAGGATCTTGTGTGATTACATGTATAACTACATGCAAAATTCCAAGCTGAATTTCCAACTGAAAAGATTTCCCGAGCAACATTTTGCARGCTTCGACCAAGTACACCATGTTGGCAGTTTTTATCACACGTGACACGCGCCATCAATACATGGCATTAAGGCCCSGTCCACACGTATCCGGAAATTTTTGTATCCGCAATTTTTTTTTACGGATWCCGGTTGCGTCCACACGTGTCCGCAAATTTTTGTGTCCGTATCCGCAAATTCTACGAAAACGGACACGTGTGGACGGTGAAAACGATTGGAATATGCTGCGTGTGGACGCAAACATTTTCGTATCCGCAAAAAAAATTTGCGGATGCAAAAATTTCCGTATACGTGTGGACGGGGCCTAAAACTCCGTGCTCTAAAGAGTAATGGACTTACTACAACTGTTAATCCAGACAAGTTTGTTAAAAGCATGACGAAAYCAAACTTAAAGAAATGCTGAACGAACTTGATGAAGACGAAATTACGACCAATGGAAACGTACGTGGAAGAAGGAGACAAAAAAAGAATGAAGATAGTGCGAAASACACTGAAGAATGACCAATTTGTTGCATCAATGGAAAAGGAGACAAATACATTTAGGCAGCACGTGTATCGAGTTCGTGAGCAGTATGTTCAACTAAAATGTCTCAAAGAAAATCTTCCATACAACCACGTCATAGTGCAAATGGACTTTGCCGAGAAACATTTGTGTCAGTCCCTTGAGGAAGTGCAAAGCGCATATTGGAATGGCACAATGGTCAGTCTTCATCCAGTTGTCGCTTRCTTCAAAGATGGCAATGGAAACATGAAACATAAAAGCTTTGTGTTTACGTCTGATGAACTGTCACACAATGCGACTGCAGTCTTTACTATCCTAAAGAAGTTAGTCTCCGAGCTGAAACTTCTTTTTTCTCCATTAAAATACATCCACTACTGGACAGATAGTCCCACATCGCAATACCGAAATAAGACCATTTTCGGTATTACTGCAAACCACCTCAGCGARTTTGGAGTCGAACATGCAGTGTGGCACTGCAAAGAGGATGGCAGACGAAGCAGTGAAAACTGGTAAGGTTGTCATCCAAGATGCAGATGGATTCTACAAATGGGTTTCCGGGGAACATAACAACATGGCAACAAAGTACRCATCCTACGGAAAAGAGGATTACAGTGAAGCCGCACTGCTGTGTCTGGAAAAAATCCCCACAAATAAAGTGAAAGGCACGACGAAATTACATGCAGTTTTTGGAGCAGCACCAAATAAGATTATGGCGAAATTAAGCGACCTCATGTTACTGCAATAGCTGCCTTAGCGAGGATAAATTTGCTGCCAACTCTGCCTGTGGATGGAAACCTCATCTATTCCTTAATTCCCTGACAGACTTTGGGGAGAATAAGCTTAAAGTCAATGTTGACGACTGGGTGTGCGCCATCTACAATATAAAGCATGGTATATTGGAAAAGTAGAAGAGGTTAATATTGATGACATCCATGTTACATTCATGGAACCACGGTTCAAATGGCYCAAAAGGAAAGATGGGTGGACTTGAAGAATATTCTTTGCGTGATAGAACCTCCAGTACCAGTTGGAAAGACCAAGCGTTTTTTCCAGATTTCCAAAGCAACTCTGGAACTCATAACACAAAAATTCTCCGACTTCACATGAAGAGTATTGTGCCTTCTGGATATAAACCTGATTGCCTGACGTAAATTACGTTACAAAGACAATTCAGATTTAATTCCGCAGTCGTGGCATGCAATAGAACAAAAAGAAAAGGCAGTTTTAAATATCCATGTATCTGATCATAGATATATATGTGATTTTACATTTTATATTTTATATATTTTGATTTCAAGTAATCTATGAATTGTGGAACTGACGTGTTACTCGCAAAAATAAAGAAAATATACTTTGAATATAATATTTCACAATTAACAACTTAGCACTTTTCACTGATGAAAATAGGTAAACTAAGTAAAGATTGTTTTTTCTCTCCCTTATTTGAAGCAGGGAAATGAAAAAGAATTCTTCGATAACGGTAAATATCTACGTTGTAAATTACGTTACCATTTTGTAGAGCCCTAACAAGCCATAACGTGTAATGTCATAACATAAGTTAACATTTTATAGCAATCTTAGGCTCTATAGCTTTGATATTAACTTTGATATTTTTGTCCAATGATCTAGCAAATTAGAGAAAATAAATGAAGTTGGAATCAAAATGTTTAATTTATGACAGTTCATACTTCCGAAAAATAATAGATTTTTATAGCGATATGCGATTGTATTTACAAAAAAATGAAGGGAACTATAAACCAAAATACTTGGCAAGCTACCTATTCCAAAAATTACAATATTCAATTGATATTGCCATTTCCGTTGGAAAATTTATAAACGTCTTCCTTAATTCCCATTTACCTTTACGGGTTAAGTCGGGTCACATGTTTGCCTAGTAACTCCCTAATCACCCAACTTATTCGCGGCAAACTTCAGAATATAACAGTTTCAAGGCCTAGAACATAAGTAATTTAGTGAGAAAGGAATACATTAAAAGACAAAAGAAAAAGTTCGGCTTCAGTGATCTTCTTTTGTTTTTTAATATAATTCCTATCCCACTAAATCACTAATGTTCTATTTTCGTATGCAAGTAGGTGTAAATGTTATTGCAAGTAGGTGTATAAAATGCAAGTTCAATATATAGTTATTAACCGGGTTAATTTACCTCGCATTTATAATGAGGGTTATAACGAAAGCCTTGTGAATAACAAAGAAAACCGTGTCAAGYGATAAATRACTTTGTTTTACGGCATGTCGAACCCTCTACAAGTCCCCTTTAAGAATGCGCTTTTTGCAATTATTTAATACACGTTATTGAAAAAAAATTCCTCTCGAAACCATTTCACTTGCGTATTGTGTTATTATTTTATTCGACGCACGTGCGCATTTGCTCTTCACGCTTCAACTAATTTTTAACAAAATAGCACAAAATTGTACTATTTAGCAATTACTGTTTAACGCTTTTAGAGTGCACGCACTAAAACCGTGAAATACTAATTACTAAATAGGCAAAATAGTGCAAATTAAACAATAGAAAACAATGGAATTTGCATGAAATTGTGCTATTTAGTATTACTAAAGTTTCACGATTATATTGTTTGCACTCTAGTAAAAGCACTATTTATCATAATTATACAATTTTTGTTTATTATCAAGCTTAACGACCCCCGCGGGGTCGTGCTTTAAAATGAAACACTCGCACTCGTTTTCGTATTCCATTGTTAATAGATTGAAAACAGATTTTTACGAAACGTCTAATTATAGTAGAATGACTGTGCATTATTTCTTGCACGACCTTTTAAGGTCACAGATTACTTCCACTATGACGACACGTGAGCACGTCTTTGTTCTAAGGCTTGATTTACATAAGTCCAAAGGCTTAGGACATGCTAGAGTCGCTAGACTCATGGTTTAATATTAGTACGTCTAAAGCGAAAAACTAAAGACATGGCAGTAGTTGGAATTATTCGCTTTGTGCTGTTGTTATCAGCTTTATTTGTGGTTAGTTGTAGAGCCCTCACTCCACACATGTTCAGGGCTTCTAAACTTTATCTGGAKGAGCTGAATCATCTACGTCTGGCCGCTACAAAAAACGATACACTTTCTCCGCATTGTAACCGTTCGCTTATTGAATTGGAAAATATCACAAACATTGCCTTGCAGTTGCGATGTAAGTTGTTTTTCTTGCTTGAAAATTGCTTTTTATCTGAATCTTATTTTAAACTGATGAGGTGAATACGTGTAATTTGTGCTTATAGACAACGGTATATTTATTTATGAAGCTCATAATTGGTTGATTATGTTTGAATTATATTGCTATAAAAGGTAAAAATTAACCTTGAACTCACATTAAAGTCGAATCCAATATTGGTTTGTAAAACTAAAGTTCAGATACCGCCCAATACAGTGTATTTGTTTCGTAACTTCAGCTTGACATACAGTCAATAGCAAGAGGTAATCAAATCTATGGTAACAAAACTATTTAAGGTGGCTCGTAACTACTTCCGTTGCTAATATCCTGAAGCTGCTATTATTTAAAAAAATATTAGTACTCATCGAGGTTGTTAACTCTGATAAGTACATATACAAAAATTATATTTAATTATTACTTTTTTATTGATTTTTTTATTTCCTTACCTATTTTTTGAAATATTTTTCTATAAATATATAATAATGATAATGAAGATGCTAAATAATCTGCGTGTTTATTACTGGTCCATAAACTAGCTCCTATTGATAGACACATTCTCTAGGAGGTGGGGAGAGTGGGGGAGGGGGGAGGGTGGGGAGTGAAAAGGAGTTAGAAAGCTCTTATAAAGGTTCTCTTAAAGTAACAGGTATTCATATGTAGCGCTATTTACATTTCACATACACAAAGTATATGTATTTATTAATACTAATTATTATTTATTGATTTTTAGATCTTGATGCTCTCGGCAAACCAGGTGCTGGCATAATGGTCGGGCATTCAGCATGGTTAGGTTCGTATAGTGAGTGTACAAGTATCCCTGGTGCAGCGTACTGTCTGGCTGGTATTGGACCTGTTACTAACAAGGTGAGAGCTAGGATCTAGYTGTAAATAATGATAATAATTATTTATTTGTATAAGCTCAATATTCCAAGTTCTATTAAGACGCTCCACCGTTATTATATAAACATAAATATAAAATGGTGTAGGAAATGCCAATTAATGCCAATTATTTTCTAGATCTCAAATATTAGCTAAGATTTTTTTTTATTATCCTTTTTTAGTCTCTTCCCCCAAGTCAAAATAATCCATTTGGAAGTGGTTTTAAGGTAGGACTGTGTGTTCCAAAAGAATGTACTGAGACTGATATAGCTGTTGGTCTAAAGGATATTATTAAAGGTAATCAATTGAACTCTCTACACTGCAATTATACATGTATAATAATGGACTTTTTAGCCCAGGCATTAATGTCTCATCACTGTGACTTAATAATCTTAGTAATCGAGCCTGCCTCTATCTTCAGTTAAAAACAACATTTCAGTTTAGAATTGTATTCGTGCAACATTTCAATCCATGCAGACTTTGTAAAAAAATTATAAACCTGAGTAAACTTGCAGATATTGAATTTGTTTCCCTGTATAAAAAGTGATTTAATTATCATATTAATTGTATAATATCAATCAAAGATTCAATCAGTATTACTGGCCACAAAGGGGAACAGAAGGACAAGCCGAAAGGGGGGGGGGACTCTGTTAGGGTTCCAGATCTACAATTTGGTACCTCTTAAGGTTTCACATATATCTAATATAAAAGGACTACTGGAGAATAAACAAATATAACCAGTAGGGTGTTTTTGAGGCATAAAGCTACGTATGATGACAGTCAGAATGGCAGTTGTAATTCAGGATGTTTATTTTTTGTTCGTTATCTGACTTCTGTCACTTAGATCATAGATACATATAATTGGTACCTTTTAGGGATAAAATATCATTAGTCGCCACGCTCAACTGCACAGAACTCAGGTATCTTTTAGGGGTCATTTTCAAAATTTCCGACAAGCATCCCCACATCCCTCTATATATAGGAGTGCCCCCCTGGCCTCCCCCCCCCCCAGAGTTTTAACTAATCGTTATTGACATTATGCTGGACATAATATATATTTGGGGTTTATTTCAGCTTTTGGCCTGAAGTCTATCATTCATTTAATTCCTGATGCACTTGGTGAAGGAATGGTACCAAGTACCAAAACAGTTCACTGTGCAAAGAAATCTGAATTCACTGATGGTGTCGTTCTTACCATGTAAGTGTGTAAAATACTCCTTATGCTCTATCAAAATTAGAATTTCATTTTTTAGAGTGATTTTATAACTTGGCCGGCCAAACAATTTAAGTTATATAATAAGTGACTAATTGTACAACAAAATAGTTAAAAAAAGAAAAGAAAAGAAAAAGAAAACAATTGACATAGTATGACAAGTGTTTACTATTGTGTATTTAATTCTTGCTATTTTTTCATGGGACAATTTGGTAAAATCCTTCCAGTGGTTTTCCATTGTGCAGATTACTAATTGAGATTACTGTGGYAGTAGATAAAATTGTTATTAGAATATATTTAATCTAGTCCAATAGAAACAATTAAAGGTTTCAATTTACAGTAATATAGACTGAGAGGAGGAAAAGTCAGTGTTATTACTATTTGGGATTGGGAAATAATGTTTCATAGAAATTAATTACACTGATTTTCAAAATTATGCGATCTAGACAGCGCGATCCATGTTCATCAGGATTCGGAGTTCGGTTGACTGAGGCCAAAACTCCAGATGTTTGATAGACTGCGTGCGGTCTCACTTTTCTCTCCAGACTTGGTAAAGATGAGAATTTTGGTTGTTGCACACATCAACAGGAATCCCAACCAAAACACCCATCTTTACTGAGTCAGAAGGGATGTGTAACTGCTCACAGTCTAGATGTCTGAAGCTGTCTAGGTTGAGTGATTTTGAAAATGGAAGTGGGGGATTTTGGCTCACTCAAGTTGAATAAGAGTTTTAACTGAGACCCTCGGAAGTGCAATGTCTAGTGTGGGGGGCATTTACATATTTATTGCAATGGCTAGTGATTTTTAAATAGCAAACAAGTAATATTCAAAAAAGGTGGCAAATTATGGGGGGTGGGGGGTGGATTTTTCTAGACCCCCAGCCCTTCCCCCTCTTTGATCCCTGCCAATAAAATATACCGTATGTTGCAATATATTCTAAGGAATGTTCCAATGAGGTTATGATTGTTCCAAACAGAATCTACTGAGTTTTACAAATATAATTGAGTTTCTTCTTGACTATCGAGTCATTAAGAATATCCTTATTTCTATTATTATTCATATTATCAATCAATGTTTTTGTCCACAGTACATTCTGTAGTGTCATACTGGCATTCTGTGTCTGTGGGACTCTCATTGAGCTGATATTGTTTTTGTCCACAGTACATTCTGTAGTGTCATACTGGCATTCTGTCTCTGTGGGACTCTCATTGAGCTTATATCAGGAACTGGTCAAACCAAATCCTCTGCTAGTCATGTGAACAAGAATGATGGCTTCATGCCAGTCACCAGCAACAATGCTGCTGTTGCTGAAGAATCAGAACCATTTATTGTCAGAAAGGATGAGGGACAAAACTTTGGTACGCCCCACTATTCTGCTAACGAATCAAGTCCTCTAATACTGGTTAACCAAAATAAGAAAASTGAGTGTGTTCTAGCTATGATATACTAATAATTAATACTTCAGTAATCACTACTGGCTGAGAACCTGTGAAAATCCTGTGAAAATTCGTTGAAAGATCTGTGAAATTCCTAAAATTGAGAGATATTTTTCACAGGTTTTTCACAGGATTTTCACAGGTTCTCAGCCAGTAGTGAATAATGGCCTTTATGCTACTTATAGTTCTAATACTTTGGTGGATAATTAACATCATAATAATTATTCTTGACTTTAAATCTTTCATGTCTCTAAGTAATGTGTTAATTATCAGGACTTAACATACTCAGCCTACCAAACTCAAGCTGGAGTTATATTGTTTGAAAGTTTGTTTGTAGGGGAGTGAAGACTGAGAATATATGTGGATAATGTCCCTTCTTAGACCCTCTTTCCCATTCTATTATCTTGCTACATTACTCATTTTCCTGTGGTTACATTAGCAGTTGTCTAAAATATCTAGCAAAGCTGCTGGCCAACTTCATCCTTAATGCAGGTTCTAAGTACATAATATTGTATATATGTTTTCAAGCAATACCCTCAATCACCCGGCAGCTGATAAAAAAAAAGTCAAATGGAAGAAAACAGCTAGTTATTATTATTTTGAACAATTTGGATTGTTTCAGGTTTCATCATTGAGTTTTTCCTGTGTTTTTCATTGATTCAAAACACTAATCGCATACTGGACACTAAAGTACCTTCAAGTGCCATCACATCCATCAATGGGATGAGGGTTCTCAGTATGTTCTGGGTCATACTAGGCCATACCTTTCTCTGGCAACTAATTGGTGGAGCAGTTGGTAAGGATGCATAATGATGATGACTCCAGTAGAAAAAAGGGAAGAGAGGCAGGGACCGCAGAGCTGGGGGGCTAGGGGGGAGGG